TTCCATTCTAGATAATTATGCTCAGTGATGTAAAATTGAAGCGATGACTGAATGAACGAACCTTGGCTGGCGAAGATGTATCTGGAAGTGTACACATTTGTTGGAAGTAAAAAAAATGTTCAATGTAATGACAAAAATTGTAAAATGCTGAGGAATTTCTTTTGCAAATAAAAATATACTAGCAATTTTTTATTAATGGTTTATTCAAGTGGGCAAAATATAATGTACAGAAAGATTGCCCGTAGAGTATCGCTACACTGAAAAGTAAGCAACCGACAGCCTGTATAAAAGGGGGGCTGTGATTGGCTGTTACTTACGCGAGATTTGAACGGGACTTACATAGGCGTCGGATCAGATGTAGGTAGGGCAGAATTTTAAAAAAATCACAAAATCAAAGTAAAATAAAAGGGCATTAATAACAAAAGTAATAAAAAATAAAATTAAAATAAGTTTATAGCCAAAATAAAGCCCGTACACTACATCAGATTTTAATCAGATTGTGGTACTGTAAAGTCATTTTTTTTTTCACTAGCTTTAATTTCATTATTTTGAGCATATTTCCTTGGTTTTTAACACATTGTCTGATGAAAGCTTACACGAATAGAGAAAATGAATGGGAAGATAAGTCTGAGGCTACATGAAATATCTTGCGTTTTTTGTTGAACATTGGTAGTTTAAGAACCTCTAGATTATGCCTGGTGTCATGCTTCTCAAGAGACTGCAAGTGTCCTGGTGACCTCCCCAGATGTCCCTCTCAATGACCCTGTGTGTCTCTCCATGAATCTGGGTTTCCCTCTCGATGACCTTGGGTGCCTCTTTCGATGACCCTGGGTGTTCTTTTCGATGACCTTCGATGATCCTTGTGATGACCTTCGATGATCCTTGTGATGACCTTCGATGATCCTTGTGGTGACCTTGGATGATCCTCTTGGTGACCTTGGGTGTCCCTTTCGATGACCCTAGATGTTCCTCATATTAAAAATTTGTGTTCCCTGCTTTTATAATGACATTTCTTTATACTTGTGGTGTAATTTTCATAATTTTGTTCATTGACAATAGTTTTGAAACAAATTGCTACGCTGATTTAAAAAATCTAATTTTATATAGCAGCAATAAAGTATATGTGGCTCTAATAATTGTGTTCATTATCTGTTTGTCAGTGTTTACGCAAAAAGAAAGTTGTAATAAATGTAGTTGAGTTGTATTCTTTTATATGAAATGTTTTGATTGTATTTGTTCAAGCTCTTAAAATTGAATAGCTACAAAATACATGTATGTAGTTACAAAATGTTATGTAACTGCTAGGATTTAGAACTGTTGTGATAGACAATGCAGGTGTTACTTGAAGGTGTCAGGTGTCATTTGAATAGTGAGTCTGCGAAAAACTTGTCCATTGTTGTTTCTAGTGTGTTGGTCATACTATGGAGCTAAATGGTCATACCCTAGAGCAGGTGATTTAAGTTTTGAATTGTATAACAAGCTCACTAGTTTCTGTTTCTGCAATCAAATCTTTTCTTGATATATACTAACAAGTGCATGGAATTCTGTCTCATATTTGTGTGATGTCATTCACCGCGGAATAGGATATTCATACCTAATATAGAATGCTAGCAACAAGACCAATGGAGATAATAACTACATGTATTACCTTGTAACTACTGGTATAATGTATAATTTTGTTTTTTTCTTCTTTGCAGCTAAAAATCAGTCTCCTTGCAACTCTTAACAGTTGGTTTAAGCATACTGACAGGGATAGCCTGAAAAACCTTCAAACAGTGGAATGTTTTGACTATAAATACATTGAAAAGATACCAGAGGCGGAGCGCTACACCTTGAAGCTTACTGTCAAATTATTTGTGTGCAATGTTGAGCCAGAATTAATGCGGCAGGCAGTTGACAGGGGTGAGTACTAAATACCAGTATTTATTATTTTGACATTTTTCTATAGTTTTTTTTAGCAATATATAACACTTGTGCATTTTTTTGAAAATACATTTTTAATATATTTGATCCCTACTTCTATGAATGATTTTATTCCTTTTTTGTTGTTGTGAAACTTGGTTTACTTTGACTCACTGTAGATAAAATTAAAAAAAAATACTCCATATAAACCATTTTTGAAGAATGTAGAGTTTTATTAATTTTTCTCCTCCATTAGACACGCATGTGCCACAACCAGGGATCATATAGGAATTTAAATTTTCTGATTCGTGTACCCTAAAAAAGTACTTTTGGGAATTTATTTTCATTAAAAAAAAAATGCTAAAAATGTGTCCCGCATAATAATTCTGAAACACTTTCTTGGATTTTCATGAAATTTCACTATAGATGTACAGATGCACATTAATTTTATTTTTGTGTTTTTTGGGGGTCAAAATATCATTTTTAGTCATTGTTGTTGGCAATGCATTGACCAATTTCATTCACGCTTTACGAATAGATAATATACAATACATTATGTAACTTATGTAACTGGTCATTAATACCAGGGCCCAGGTAATCTGCTTGCATTAATTACTTAATTAAACAAATTTCAGCTGGCAGCAGAACTTTATAATTTCTGGTATTCTGGAGAAGGTTTAATTATTCACTGGGTTTTAATTTTGCTTATTTCGCTGACTGGAAAATGCGCTAAATTAAAACTCACTGAATATGTAAAATTGAGCATAGAACACATTATCTAAATGATAAAATCGTGAATTTAAAACCTAGTGAATATGCCTGAAATGGAAAATCAGCGAAATTTAAACCCAGCGAAAATTAATCATTTTACAGTACACAATGTGAATTTTAATTAACATCACCTCCAGGCATATATACATATCACATAAATAGAATGTACAGACTAATTGAAATGAAACAATGTTCATCTTGTAGGTAAACAACAATTTTGTTGACTGTAACATTAAAAACTTGCGTACAATACTTTCAAAAATAAACTTGAACAAGAGGAATGCATAGATATATTGAAAAATAAAGACGCGTTAAAATAACTGCAAAATTCAGATTAAGTAGTCATAAACTGGCAATAGAAAAAAAGACAGTACACACAACCAAAAACATTAATAGAAGACGGAACTTGTTCTTATTTACATATAATAGATGTAGAAGATAAATTATGCAATTTGATAAACTGGAAATTATTCAAAAAAAAAAAAGAAACCTACTATTTAACATAACTCAATAATTTTGCAAAGTTTGATAACAAGGAACTATTTTAATTTATACTCAAATCATAACATCACATTATTGTATATGGAGGTTCATTATCATACTAGTTTCTAGCAGGATTTACAAAATATTATTTTAGTTGTTTTATTTTATTCAACTTTATTCCTGATATTAGAAATATCAATTTTTCTGCATGGTTGGAATAAAGCAATTTTTTTTTTTCAGTTTGTTTGGAGCTGGGTGTTACAAAAATAGACCTTTTGTTGCTGTCAATGCCTGAGAAGCCATTTGAAGAAGATCTGACAATCGAACACTTTAAACCGCTGTGGATAATGCTGGAAACATTAGTGGATGAAGGGAAAATAGAGGCCTTAGGTGTCAGTGATCTGGACAAAATTATGCTGGAACAACTGTTTATATGGTCAAAGGTATGTATATTATCTGTAGCCATTAGTTTTCCATACTGTAAGCTGTGAGAGTGTCATTGATAGCCTAGTCGTTGTCGCATCAGACTCAGGACCGGTTGACCCAGGTTCAAATCCTACCTTAGGCTGAACAACATAAACAAGTAGTAGTGTATGTAGTGTCAGTACTAGCACTTGCAATTTGCACTTACAAAATAGAAAAAAGTCAGGAGAGACAACAGTAACATTCAATGTCCAAAACTGTCGCCTGGCACAAAAACATTTAAAAAAAAAATCATCATGTCACACTAGTATGAATCAGTATATGTTCTCTTAAATTCACCACCAATTGCGAGATTTTGGTTTATACTGAGCATTCAGGCAGTAAATCTTGGCACATTTTGATTTTTGGTCCCAAGCATTCATAGGGAAAAAGCATTCATCGGCCCTGATCGTTGACACACAAGTTTTGGCACGTACCAACTCCGTCCAGAGTCAGGGCATGTACCAAGATCTCTAATGTGAATGCCGCTATATACATGTATGTACCCTCATCTTCTAAATCCTTGAGAACACAAATACCATCAACATGCATCCAATAAAACCTTGAAATGGTAGTACTACTGTACATGTATAATTATCATCACATATATAGACCCTGGCATTGGCTTGGTTCACACAATACATCTATAAACGTATTGTAAAGTACATCTCTCATTTTTACAAGATGCATTTCTGATATAGTAGGAGTAATTTTCAAATATCAACAAATATCATAATTGATAACAATGATGATCAATATATATTTAATTTTTTATAATAACTTAAAACGACCTGGCGGGGGGTGTCACTGAAATTATTTAAGCATGGGCCATGTGTAGTCTCACTGATACATTGTATGTTTGACATTTTGTATTAGAAGCCGGAATACATGATTTTCGGTTCACAGCGCGATCTTGTATAATGCATGAAAGACCAAATGTCTGCGACTGAAATTTTTTTTTTTTACCTCTGCTGTTGACTTTTTGGAGCTGAGCTTTTATCGTATGAGTGACTGTCCGTCGTAGTCACTCATTTTACTTTCTCAACTTCTTCTTAAAATTACAATTCTAGTTGCCCTGATAACTTGGTGTTGTTTGTTTCGTGATAATATCTTCAATTCTCTAATTTTGAATATTTTTGGTAAAAAGTGATTTTTTTCGACTTCTTGTTAAAAACCGCAGGTTCAATTGCTTTAATATTACATATATTGATACTACATGTGGACCTTTCTCAGATTTGTTCATTTCATGATGATATCTTCAATTATCTAATTACGATGAATATTTTTGTAATTTTTGGTGAAAAGTGATATTTTTGAATTCTTGTTGAAAACAGCAAGTCCGGTTGCTTTGATACTATACATATTGTTCATTTTCTAATGATATCTTCTGTTCTTTAATTGCAATGTGCATTTCTAACAGCGGAGCTATCTCAGCCGACAGGCTGCTTGTTTTAATATGGGATGTACAAACTTTTCTACTTTATATTCTGCAATAATAATTATATTATATATTCCATGTTCAGTAGCAGAAAATTATCACATGGATCTGAATTTATTAATGTATTAAACAAATATATATCAACTTCAGTGTGTTCTGAATGTTTGAATGTCACATTGACCTAGATCATAGGGTGATAGCAAGTACTGTACACCTGAATAACTCTATTCATCTCAGCTTATTCTGAACTCTTGAACTTAATGTTTGAAAAAGTGTTATTTAAAGAGTGGAGTGTAAATAACAATTCATTTTGAGAGCACTGGAGGATTTTGGCCTAATAGACAAACAACATACCTACTATTTATTGTTTACAAAGTTAGTTTAATTTAGGAGGCCTGCTTACAGCCGTTCTGAGATTTATTCAGACAGTCAGTTAGCATCATGACTTGCAACTTTGCTAAAACCCTTTGGTCTTTGCCAAATCTAGACTTGTTGGTTCCATTTGATTGACGCATGGATTGAGATTACTATTTCATAGGGGTTGTCGGCATGGTGAATTGCAAGTATTATCTAGCGTGCATATACAGAAACTATTCTTTATTTTGATGTTGTAAATATTTTCAGTAATTTTGAAAATCGCGAGTGGGGTGTTGCTTAAATTTATGGAAAATTGTTACAAAAATGGATTAGACATAATAACAATTGTCATGCCTTCGTCATTTTCAAACTGCAGTTGAAAAAGTGATTCGCTCAAACCAATATCAATGTATCCCTGACGCACTCTCCACCTCGGTATAAAATCTGAATTTGATACATAATGCACAGGTAATGTAAAAACAACTTTTATAGTTTGGCCCAAAACTGTCGTGAAACTGCAGCACGTCCAATGCTAAGAAACTGTATATTGAGCCTTCGTGCTAACGACGAGTTCATTAATACCTGGGGTTACTCAACACTCAGGAGTTGTTTTGTAAATTGCACTCATCAGGTGGACTCAAATGGTTTTAACAATTTAAAATAACACTATAAATGCATATACAACATATAACCCGTTAATATATGGTAACCAAAGCGTGTTGTTTTGAAAACAGTATGTTACCTGGATCTAGCAGAATAATGGAATGATCCCAATTTGTGGGCGTGCCAAGATATATTGATAAAACTGAATAATTCTCAGAACGGCATTAAATTCATATTCTGCAGTGAACATCTCATTACTTATTCACAATAACAACATTTGATCACAGTCAGGGGGTGGGAATGCAGCTTTACATTTTGATATGTATAATTATATCATATTGGTAAAATAGTGTGCTTCATTTGGGAATCAGATATCTTTGATTTGTCCCTATTATTCTTTTGGAAATTAAGTATACTGTATTTTCTCCATTAGAAACCCATCTCCGATAGAAGAACATATAAAACCGAAAATCCTATTGGATGCATTCTAAATCTTTAAAATATTACAGAGAAACCGCAGATAAATCTTGATACATTGTAATTTATGTAAGCACATGCACAACTAGTTAAAACAAATATGGCAATTCTAGTTAACATATTTATGTTAAGCAAATGTTGTAACACTCTTTAGTTAGTTATCATAAAACCCAAACATCTTGGTTTATGAGATTGTCATCCAAGCACCAAAAATTGAGCACCCTTCAAGGAAGTGCATATAATTGATGTATTTTAGGGTCAGTATAAGAAAAGTTAGCATTTATCTAGACTTGTGCAGAATTAAATACATTGTGTATTGTGTGCTAGCAATTTCTGTTATATCGTGTTGGTAAGTCTCCGGATTACCAGCTGGCTTTCCCCGAGTTTATTACAAGTCATTCTACTGTGATGATTGGTGCTGGTTGTGTAACAGATAATTTTGCATATTAATTTTCGTTTTGCATAGTCACATCGTATCGTCACATATACATAGACATGTTTATGAGTCAAGCAAAATGATATTAGGCGACTCTCCTACACAACAGAAAATGGCTCTACAATGTTACCACTCTCTATAAAATTTCCTTTTACTTGCACATTGGGTTATACTAATACAGTTGCATGTTTTCTTTGTATCTCAGGTGAAGCCAAGCATCAATCAAGTGAATTTGCAATCCTGCTGCGTTATGCCGCCGGAGATGACAGAGTTTGCCAAAGAAAATGAGATACAACTTCTGACACACTCGGATCCAAAAGGTGAGTTTGTTTTTGAATGTTAGGGTGCCTCGTTTATTCTATCTGAGACTAGGGTGCCATGAGGCTTCTTATGTACTTTGGCATAAACTAATATCTTGTATAGTATGATCATGTGGTCATATAGTATATGTAATTTGTATTTTTTATTATTCTTTTAAACAGAAATTCTTCCTCCTAAAGTATTCCGAGATGTGTTGAGTGAGACGTGCCATCCGGATGATGGTGCCAACTGGTTTCCATCATGGATTCTTCGATATTCAGTTCTCATTAAACAACGTGGAATCATCAAGACCAAGGGATACATTGTAAAATCACAGAGGTTGGGTCAGCAAGAGATGTTTTAGGACACAGTTCAGAAATCAACTTTAAGTCAATCATCTTTATACGTGCAACTAAATTGTTTTTTTATTTTAAAGATAAGTTTTATATCGAGAATGTTGGCAACACGTCTTTTGTGGCAGTTCAAAATAATTTATTTGACACTGAGGGTACTGTAAATTCATATGACCTGATTTCAATTCTAATTTTGGTAATTGCTATTTTTGATAATTTAAACACCTTTGGTCTTGTGATGTGAACTACATTTGTACATATGTGCTTGGGTCGTATGTTCTCTATGTTTTGCTGCAGCTCAGATTTGTTGACTTTGTTACTGTGACTACAGTCTTCCTACTGTGTTGTTAAATGTGACTAGACACGTGTACACATCAGACAGCACATCTCCACAATGAAATGAAGAATTGGTAATCCCACCTTATTTAAAAAGTACAAAGTTCATAAATAGAAAGTTCCTCTGATTTTCATTGCCTTGCTGAGGTTTACACATCTAGTGAATGCTGAGAATATTAATAAGAAAGTTGTTCCCAAGGATACCACAAAATATGCCCTTAGACGATAAACTATTACAACTGTTGATAATTCCTCTGTACTGTATTTGTGCATAATTTGTGACATCTCCATAGTAACCTCATAGCATTTCCTTTATTGAACACCTACCTCAAAATGTAAACAGATTTTGTCAAATTGTTGTTTATCATCTACAGTTCATCAGTTTCGAATTTACAAATACCATTATACTTGCACATTTTGTGTATGCATTTTCAATAGATTCAGACTTTTTTTTTTATTTTTAGCAGTGAATCATTTTTTAATCAGTTTAGTCTTTCTATTAATAACCATATATTGTGACTGTGTGATTAATGTGTACATGTATAAATGTTATTCGAGTGATTGAAAATGACCCATCAAATAAAAACGATTTTCAAATAAGGTTACCCTTGAACAACAACAACAATATCTTAACAATATCCAAATGATTAAAACAAATGCATGTGCAGGAATTGAGTCCTCAGCGACGATAACAACACAGCAAAATGCAAAGGTTCATTTGTAGATGCTTATTTGTAAACAATTACATGCTACGGTTACTGTTTCATGTACAGGTGGTGACTCCCATGCTTTAATTTGAAGTTGATGTACTTGAAGCCGGACATTGTTGTTACACAAACGTAATTTCCCTGTGATACATTTGTCATATTCACTTCATTTCACAAATATTGTCAATTGCTTTGAAAATTAACTTTGAAATCAGGAAAAAATCATTTTAATTTCGTGTAATTTTAGTTCTAAAAATCTGGAAATGTTTCCCTCTTAAACGAACATCATTAAATCTATTATATATTTTTAGCCCTGAAAATTAAAATTGTTTACAGTATTCAGCAAAAAGGGAAATTACTAAAAGTTTTCATTTTCTGACTGTCAAAAAATGAATACATGAATGCATTGTGCCTTCAAACCATATTTAATATTTTTCTTCTATTAAAAAAAATCTAAAATCTAGAAATGTTCCCCTGCTTGAACGAACACCATTAAATCTATTATATATTTTTAGCCCTAAAAATTAGTTTACAGTATTTAGCAAAAAGGGAAATTACTAAAAGTTTTCATTTTCTGACTGTCAAAAAATGAATACATGAATGCATTGTGTCTTCAAACCACATTTAATATTTTTCTTCTATTAAAAAAATATAATTTTATTGAATGAATGCTCGAGCCAAATTAATTTTTATTCTATACACTTCACATTTTCAAAGAGGGATTTATATGCAGCTAATATACATGTATTAATGGCTGCGGCTTGAAAAATAAGTCTTTTTTTAAATTTAATTTGGGGGGGGGGGTAGATTCTTGAGATAAGGTAATTAGAAAATTATACATATATGTGTAGTAATATTATAAATGTATATTGTAATTAATTTGTATGTTAGTTTTATTGCATAACCTGTGAATCAGAACCACTACTTATTATGAGGGAATGAAATAAATAGATGTGTGTACATATATATACGTAATATGATAGAATGGGAAAATTAGTGCAGTTCACTCAAAATATCTAATCTACATGACCGCAGATTAATGCCTGAATGGTATATTCATTTTCGGTGAATAAGCTGAACAGAGATAAATTTCAAATTATCTTTTTACTACCTTGTGATATATATGGTTGCTCCACTTCTGGTCATTATGAATATGAAGATATTTTACCAAATCAGCTTCAGTTTAGTATCAAACGTGTTAGATTCCTTCTTGTAGTCATCCAAGTTGTATGTCAAGAATGGAAAGCTATCTCGAAAATATGGCACAATATTTAAAGTATTTAAAAATTTCTTCATAGTGTCAAACCCTGCTTTTTCAGTCATTTTTATTTAAAAAATGAGCAAAATGTTTACAATTGAGGTTAGTAATTCATGCAACTAGTTTGGTTACCAAAAATTTTATTTCTTTAAAGGAACAAATAACCAATCACTAGGCAATAACTGTTCGGCATTTCCGGAAATTCTCGTGTTAAGTGTGTCACTCCTTAAAGGGGCACTTCCAGTTAAGGCTAATCTCACAACAAATTTACTTTCTGGATTGAAATTACAATGGATAACAAAAGATAGATTAACTTTGTAAACAACATAAACAATAGTGTCCCATGATTCTTTGGTGCAATCCATGGGATTGAGCGGCTCCCCTTTAAATAATGAAACCTTACTGTTTTATATGACTTGTTAAAGCAAGACAAAATAGAAATCTTCATATTTTTTTGCATCTATTCATAAGAATCTATTATGTATATCTGCATGTTTTTAATTCATTTGACCAATATGTGGTTCCAATTGTCATTACCTTAAGCCAATTGGATATTAAGTCAGCTGTATAAAACTTGTAAATAAATGGAGTTATGTATTATACCCCATTTAATCTGAATATTTTGTGATAGATTTTTATTTTGTAGTATAATCCTCCTGTTGTAATTGCACTATTGTACAGGATTCTGTCAAAATAAATATTTCCTAAAATGTAAAGACAACCTAAAATGAGATTTATTAAAGGTCTTTTTTCACTGGTTAATACTGTGCATTCTTATCACATGCTTTAACATCTAGGGTACACATGTTCTATAGTACAGATTTTCACAATTTTTTTCTTATGCTATTGAGTCACCTCGTATACTGTTAGCTGAACATACACATTCTGTTTTCGTTCACCTTTTACATTTTCTACAAAACCACCAGCCAATTACCTGGTTATTTACCCAAATTTCTTTAATTTCATGATGGTGGCTGTGCTGAGATCACTGGGATGGGGGCAAATATTAACCCAAACACCCAATAATGTTCAATAATTTTACCACCTTGTGTGGTGGGTTCTTAAGACTAGGCCGGCTGTCCCTCAGGATTGCCACCCGTGTTCATCATGCCAACTAAGCCAAGACCCTACAGAATCAGTGCCATATTGGATGAAGGTCAGGGAATCTCTCTCAACCCTCCATCCGTGTTTTTCACACTAAATCCAGGGAAGAAGAACATAAAACTAATGGTTTTGTCACGATTGTAAGCTTCATTTTTTTCTCTGTCAATTGCAGGCAATCCAATCTACAAACATAGGGGGCGCTCTCTATCCAGAGCTTTATTCGCTGACAACAAAATGGCACTCGGGGCGACAGCAGGAAATTTTGGATGGAGGGGCGAGATCTGCTCAATCTGCTCATCATCCCAAAGGCACGACCTTACCCTTTTAAAATTTGAAATCTAGACCCCTCTGAAACGCTATTTCCTGCATTTTGAAGGGAAAATTCTGCTGACACAAAGGGTTTCAGCCTGATTTTAGAGGGGCGACCCCCCCCCCCCAGTGTCGCCACCACTGATATCAAATCACCTAGGCCAAGCCAAAGCAGGTGCCAAAAAGATGTTTTATGAAAAGTATATGCATGCATGTGTGTGATATTGATGTGTATGTGTGTAAAGTGTTGAACACTGGCGTGACAAAATTAAATTTAAAGGCCAGGCAACAAGGGATTGAAAATAAAAACTTCGAAATTGTTAATCAAAGCTGTCGTTGATAATTGGTAACTGTCTAAAAGATGAAGTACAGGTCATAGCCTGGGTGATAAAAAAACCCGGAATGATGCGTATTGTGATCTGAGATGCCTGTAGTATCTCCTCTCCTATGCAGGCTATGGACAGTATAGCTGAAAGGACCAAATACCTAAACTTACAGGTGAGTGCATGACTAGTACTAGTAAGTAAGACGAGAAAGTAAGACAGGTGATGCTGCTGAGGCAGTCAACTTAAAATAACATACAATAGGAAGCAACAGGCAAATGACCAAGTAACGTTTCAGATGCACATAATTTGGGTATGCATACTTTGTTTCAGAGATTCTGTATCCTGACGAAACAGACCCACAATTTTTATGGATGTATATATTCTCAAGAAAACGAACGATTGTATTGAAAATACCGCATCTCAATTATCTCGAATACATTTTTCTCGTGTTTACAGTATTGAATATGTCGACTGACAAAACGTGTCAATATCCTGTACGTCCATGTGAGACACGATAAATTAGGTTTAACCATGATAACGGGTACTCGGACATATGTCGATACAATATCAAGAATCATAGATTTCATGGGTGATTATATTTTGTCCTTTTAATGTACGTCTATAACGAGATTATCGAACCAATTTAAAACGACAGAGATGGGCGAATTGGTGTCAAAACTGTTCTCATCCGCCTTAGAGCTAACATTTACGTCTGAAGAAAATCCAATCCTTCGATTAATATGGCGATATACTTGTATATACCGGTATGAATTTGAGCACTAGATATTTTAAAAATATATGCCAAAGTTCCGCTGTTACTATTGGGGCAACTTGTATATTTTCGATGTTTATGTGGTATTTAGTATTTATGTAAAAATAGAAACTCCCGTTGCACAGTATACGTTGTCGTGACATTTTCCTTCGAGGCGCAATCTTTCTATTTTTGTAAGACGAAAACGTCACTAATAACTACTAATTTATAGTTGGAACTATGTAAGCATGATCGGCGGAACTAAACGTGCTTTTTATTAAATAAACATACGGTATTCATATGTCGAGCGTATGTGAACCAAATGTGTGTTATTATTCTATTATACTTGGTACAGAAAAGATTACTTTATTCTGTTGCAATACAATGATTAAGTACATGCTCTACACGGCGTACTCAAATTAGGTCACTGGGCACGGGGCAACTCAACTCAACGAATAGAATATGAGGGCGCGTTTCATTATTTTTTTTTGGAGAAAGTTGGTTGGTTGTAGAATTTTTGTTACGGCCCGTCGTAGATGGCGCACTGAAATTAAATTGAAACACGAGTTTTTTGTCTTCTCTCAACTGTTATTATGACCACTGAAATACTACCATAGTTATCTTATGTCAATATTATACACGCAAAATATTGTTTTTCCCTCGTCTCGGCCTAACGTTTGAATGTGAGATTATTACCTAACTTGAGGTTAGTTTCGTGATATGGGAAGAGATAGAGAGACTTTAAATTTTTTTTGGAAATAGGATTATCAGGTAAGTTCGGACAGGGATTATGCACCACGTCCTGACTGACGTTTTAATATGAGATGAAAACTAACGTCAGTCAGGCAACGGTGATGATATGGAAACAATAAACACACTTAGTATTACGTTTCAAATTATGTAATTAACAAAACTATATTACATTGGGAAAAAAATTGTCCAGTAACATTGTTGTAGCACTTGTCATTTCTTAGTAGTGGGCAACACCATGAACTCCCGCTGATCACACGTCGTGTAGGTTTCCTTGTCTGATTTCTCCACCAGTGGCGTTACTTGGGCATATATGGTGAGAGTTTCTTTTGGGGAATTCAACCTCCATAAAACATCAGCTAATGCTGAGTTTTGTTCTGTGGTTTTCGTAAATTACCCCCAACGAATAACGTCGCACCTACTGATAAAAATAATAAGACGACAAAAATCAATGACGCGTATTGAATTAGCCGATTCAATACAAATATATACAATGTACTTACTGTGAAGAAATGTTTCAGACCATTCCTACAGAGTACCTTCAATTTCCGCCGATATTGAGTGACGCATTGAACATACATGATGAAAAGTGTTAGCTCACTTATGTGTTAGACAAACATTAGTATACGTCAAACCGTATTTATTATCACTGCAGTAACGCATATTTTGCCAGTAATCATCGAAGTGAATAAATTGCGCAATGACGTGCCACCAAAGCTGTGATTGGATGGTTGCTTCGTGTCGTTGCATGAGCTACCAGTCATTCTCTGTTCAGTATTGGTGGAAAACCATGTGATGTCGCATGAGGGCGTTTACAACGTTAACACTCCCCAGGCTTCCGGCCTCCGCTGAAATGACTGCGGCATGTTTTGCTGATTTAGTATACTATCAAATCAGGCCTGAGGACTGTCCACAGTCTACCTATTGTGCGATTAGAGTATTGTGTTGCACATATCTTTGTACACATGTTTGATAGAGTCAAGTCATGAACTCAACGAACGTATCTAGCGTAAATAATTCGCCACAATTTTACTTGTCAGCTTCTTTCATGGTGTCAAGACAAACACTTCAGCTACTGAACCGCGGTTTATAATTGAAATGAGTGGTTGATTGTTCTATGTCTCAATCGGTGTCCACTGGCCATGTTTTGATCCTGTGTACCACTGTACACATAGGTCAGCGTTCTACACATTATCTTCCTAACAAGGTTCGTGGGATTGAATTCAGCCACAACCATCATGCCATCTGTTGAGCTTACAGCACAGCACTGTTCTTTCCACTTTCTCTGCTTTGTTACAATCTGAAACATAAAAACATTAAGATGATAGCATAAATAGACCCATGCGCAAAAACTAATGGATAAAATATTTAATTTATTATTTTGTATATCATGTGAAAAAATTAGTTATTTAGAACTGAAATGTTTTTGTACACATAAATGAAGATATTTTTATGGAAACAAATAATCATAATCTACGATATATCCCAAACTAATTGAATATACACTAGGCTTATGATGTTGATATATCTACATTGTATCATTTCACACTAGAAACACGGTACTCACCACTGGCGCCCTGCTTGCCTTGTCTGACAATTGTGCTATACTTCAAGCCTTCCACCTTCGATCGTGGGATCAATATCTTCAGTCGAGCTGTATTTCACGACGTGGTCGAGAAACCATCCCATTATATCATATTATCGCAATAACCAACCCGATATGGATGTCACCAAACACTTGGATCATGTGGATAATAAAAAACATCCCACCACTGGCACTGAAAACTGTCCATATGTACCCTTGCTGGTTGTATTGCATGCGATAACGCAGCCAGGTCTTGTTTGTGGTTGGCGTTTTTCTTAACCTATTTTGGTTTGCCAAATGGGAGTAGGTATTTACCGTCCTCCCCGATGTTGAAGACTTGTACTGGTGGTTCTTGTTCTTTTTATCGTTCGTTACTTTCCCACTTTTTGTACTAAACTTTCAGTCTGTGACAGTCTTTTGTAAACCTACAAATGTGTTTGAAACAACATTTTAATGGCTTAATAATTGTGTTGAAGAAGGATTCGACAGCTTTTCCTGACATTTAGTCTTACTGAATGTACTGCTATTTAAAAAAACGTCAACTTTAATTACCTGAAGTGATGATGAAATGAAATGTTTGTGAAATCACACAAAACTGGTTCCAACCACGCTTTGAAATCAACTACTTCTTCAAATAATATTAATCTGGGTGGTGGATCAGTCTTAATACTTCCTTCAAGTTGCCTCGCCAGTTCTATCAATGTCAATGTAGCATGTGTTTTCAGCTGGCGTGAAAATATGCTAAACCTCTGATCTATATCTGATGATAGAAAACAGAATGTAGCAACATTAAACAAGAATTAATTATTTTTAAATTAGTAAGATGTCTAATTTTGTGTCATGTATCAAGCGCAGGTCCCAGGTGTGAATAGTTGGTAAACAAGC